AGGATGTTCCCCCTGAAAGAGAGCCCTTGCAGGGCACTAGGGTTTTGCCTTTGGGGCACTGGCATCAGTGGGAAGGGAGACCCAGATGAGAAGGCACAGCAGGAATTTAACCTGGCATCTGTGCATGGGCTTAGGGCGCTGTGCACCACCCAAAACCACAGGCAAAACACTGTGTATGTGGCCACTTTTGGGGGAGGGTATGAGGGCGGCATCCCCACCCTGCCCTGGTCTCGGGCGGGGACCCTGCAGGTGCACAAGCTCAGTGCGCGCTGCCGCCAGCCCGCCAGCAGAGGGCGCTCGGCCCAAGGCTGTGAAAAGCGGAGCTCTGGCTTGGCTGGCGGCCGCCGCTGGGGGAGCCGAGGCCCTCCTGCCACCGAGGCCCTCCTGCCACTGAGGCCGGCCAGAGCGTGGCGCTGGGTGAGGGCGCTGCTGGGCTCACAGCCACGGCTGAGGTGCACTGTTGCCCGGGGTGCCCGGCCGGGGGCAGCCCTGGACATCGCGGCGAGGAGGGGGGCTCCTCGGCACACAGGAGGGGCTTTTAAAAATCCACCTGCCCGGGCCCCACCCCTAGAAGGTGTCCTCCATGGGTCTGGGGTGCGCCCAGACATCAGCATTTCTTAGATGCTCCGTGGACTGAGAGTCACAGCGTAAGACATGGTGAGCTCCGCGCACGAGGGGCTGTCCTTTTTACAGAGGAGGAAACTGAGGCTCAGAGTTGCTGGGCCTCACCTGAGGTTACACTCAGGTTACACCTGGGGCTGCGACACCACAGCCCGCTCGCTCTTTTATCTCCGTGATGCTGATAATGAAAACAGCGTCTCCTGTGGTGGGTTTCTCCACCTGGCTCTGCGGACATTTTGGGCTTCATGACTCTTTGTTGTGGGGGGCTGTCCCGCTTCAGTGTGGTGGCTGCATGATGCCCCCCAGTGATGTCCATGCCCTGATCCCCAGAGGCTGTGACTCTGTCACCTTACTCGGCGACGCGGACTTCGCAGACATGCGTAAGATCTTGAGGTGGGGGGTGGTCCGGGTGGTCAGGTGGACCCCATAGCGTCACAGCGGTCCTTAGAAGAGGAAGGAGGGCGAGGAAGAGACGGAGATCGGAAGATGCGGTGATGCTCGACTCGAGGGTGAAGGACGGGCCGTGAGCGGGGAACGCAAGTGGCCTCCAGAAGCTGGAAAGGCCGGGAGAAGGATTCTCCTCTGGAGCCTCCAGAAGGAGCCTGCCCTGCCGAAACCTGGGCTTCAGTCAGTGAGGCCCATGGGGGACTTCCGACTTCCGGCGCTGTAAGATACGTTTGTTTGTTTTAAACCACTTGATGGCAATTTGTTAACAACCGTGACGGGAAACCACTTCCTCCCTCTGCCCCTGTGACCACTTCCTCCCTCTGCCCCTGTGACAACCAGAAATGTGTCCGGACTTGCCTCACGGCGCCGGCAGCGGGGGGAGGTGGGTAACGTGGGCCCTGGTGCTGGAGCCCGGGGCCAGACCCTGCAGCGAGGGTTCTGCCAGCCGCAGCCCCCCACCTTCTCCTCTGACCCTCCAGCAAACCTGACTTGATTGCCTCCGGGGCCCATTCTGCAGACGAGAAGGCTGAGGCTCAGAGCTGTGACCTGGGCACCTGGGGGTGAGGTCACACAGATAGGGAGGGCCTCTGCGTCCACGCACTCGCACGTCTCCCACCGGCAGGTAGAGCTGGCTATGCTGCCCCAAGGTGACCTTTTGGGCAGCCGGGCCTCCATCCCCTATCCTACATCCCTACCCTCTGGGCTTTGCGGCCTTTTCCAGGCCGGGCTGCTTCTCCAGCAGCTGGTGGAGACCCGGTGCTGATGGCAGCAAAAGACATAGGGTCCCAGGTGGGGGTGGGGAAGGGAATGAGTGAATGTGTCACAAAAAGTGAAGCCAGGCAGTGAGAGCCAGGCCGGGGTTTGAGCCCCAAACTGCTTCTCCAGCATCAGGTGTCAGAGCTTAGGAGCCCGGTGGCCTCGGTTCCAATCCTGTCTCTACCCCTTGGGCAGTCGTCTAACCTTCCTGAGCCTGTTTACCTCTCTGGGCAATGGGCTCCTGAGGATCACCCAGGGCTGGCTACCCTTTTTTCTCCAGTTTATTTGCCCAGGGAACTCTTAATTCACAGAACCTCTTGCAGGAGGAGCTTTTCACAGGATACAAAATGCAGGTTCTGTCCCCTCTTTTTATCCGCTGTGGCATGGCTGCCCATGGGTCGGGTGGCATTCTGGCCTCATTTATCAGAGCGAAGAGGCTGGTGGATGTGAGGGTGCCTCTGGACCATGGGTGTATCATTAGGGCTGGAGAAACGTGACTCAGAATCCGGAAGGCTCGGCCCCGGTCATGGGCTCCACTTACAAGTTTGGGCAAGCATGTGACCCACGCTCAACCAATCAGAACCCTCCCCGGGACATTCTATCAGCAGCATTCGGCTTGAAGAATTCTCTTTCGGCTGGGGTTGCTAAACTGGCAAGCCCTAAGCCTTGGGCAGCGAGAGAAGAGAGTTTCTCAGAGAGATGGAGAGAAAGAAGCCTGAAAAATAATGCTTGAGCCCCTGGAGCCAGCCATTCCTGAAGCTAAGTATCTCTTGATTTCCCAGTTGCATGAGCAAATAGATTCTTTTTTTAAGCCTAGGTGAGCTAAGTTTCTGTCACTTGCAGCCAAAATGCTCCTGAATTACTCCCTAGACCCTTTCTTGCTCAAAGCCTCTAATCTTGGCTGCCTGCTAAAGCCCCACAGGTGAGGAGTCCCACCTGGGCTCATCCTGAGACTAGCAGAGAGACTGGGATTTGCATTTGTGAGCAGGTCATGGTGATTTGGGAAAATCACCTCTAATTCTTATGGAGCAAACTGCCCCCATTCAACTCTGGGGGCCGCAAACTCTGTTTGCACGTATCATGGCAGAAGGGAGGGTGGGTGGCTGGGGACCTAGTTAGAACAAAGGGCTGGAGGATGGACGGACTTAATCATTCCCTGCTAGCTAATGGAAGCTAGTTAATTTCCTTCCTGGAGAGACCAGTGGTGACCTTCACCTCCAGCCCCCATTAACAGCTGACAATGCTTTGTCAGCGTGTTTATGACAAATTAATTTATACAGAGAGAGGAAATCTCGCGGAAAGAGGAGTATTCCGGCTGGGGCTGGAGATGAGGGCTGAGGCTGAGTTTGGAGCTGCATTTGGATCCTCCACTGACGTGGCCTGGTTAACCACAGACCTTGGGCAAACTTCAAGGCGAGCAGTTTCCAGCTCACCGCAGAGGAAAGACAATGCCAGGAGGAGTGAGCCAAACCCAATTTCGAGTCCCTTTTACCTGCTGGTGTGTTGCAAACTGGATATCCCCTGAGGGAATGATCCCCAGGAGGTGGCCCTGGGTCAACATAGTGGCAGAGATAACTTTGCCCCCAGTGGGCAGGCAATTCCAGCCCACAGAACAAGACGCCCCCTCCTAATGAATCCAACTTCCTTGTCGTGTGCACCCGCCCAGTCCTTCCTGGAAGACGTGTGCAGGTGGGGCTCATACAGAGTGCAGGGTCAAGTCCAAACTCCTAGGGTCACGTGGTCCAGCACCTGCTTCTCTCCAGCCAACCTCCCACTGGTTTTCTTTGCAGTGCGCTTTCCACCGACACCCGAACGTTTGGCTGTCGTGCTCTGAATAAGTCGTCTTGCTCTGATCATTACGCGTTTGCCTGGGCTGTGCCCTGCCTAGGCCGTCATCCCCATCCCACCCTACCTCCCTCTGCCAGATGTGGGAGAGTGAGCTCTCGGGTTTTCTCCTCCCCATGGAGCCTCCTGGACCCTCCAGGCAGCGTGTGGGCCCCTGTTCCGTCCTCCCTAGTTCCCTGTGACTAGTCCTGTTCGGGACCCCTGTTGATGCCCACCTCTCCCGCCGACCGTGAACTGCGCACCACGGGGCAGGGCTTTGTCTCCCTCCGTCGGGAGCCCCCGGGCGTGGTCAGTGAAGGGGCCTGTCGGGCACACACTGGGGGTACGCGCAGAGGGAAAAGACGACGCTCCTGTGCGTAGTGACTTCACTGGCTGGTGCTGGGGGAAATGCAGTGGACTTCTGAGCTTCTCGCCTGTCCAGCAGCATCCCCTTTCTGTAACTTTCGAGAACTGCCCATCCCTTGCCCTTAAGCGAGGTGACTGGGGGTGGCTGACCCCCATCCTGGTGCCAGGGATAGATCGTGTGATGCCAGCCGGCCAATCATAGCATTCCGTTGCTCTGGCCAGTCACCAGCTGAGAGGTGGTCACGCGACCAAAGCCATCCAACTTGGCTTTTGCCACTGGGAAGAAGTGTTCTCCTTCCACTGAGCAATGAAGTCAGTGGCATGGAGGCCTGGAGGCTCCAGGGGCCATGTTTGCCAAGAGAGGCGAGCAGAGCAGAGAGATGCAAAGAGGGAGGCTGAGTCCTAAGGCATTGTCTGACTCCCTCAATGGAGATGTTCCTGAAGCAAGTTTATACTTGGGCTTGTCTCTGTTAGAAGAGCCAATATTTCCCCTTTTGTGTGAAGTGGGTCCGGCTTTCTGCCATCTACAACAAAATGAGTCCTGGTGAATAGGGAGAGATGGGCGAGTAATGTGGCAAATGGCAAGGCAGTGAGACACGGGATTGACGGGGACACAGGAGCCTCAGGGGCAGAGACACAGGCTGGGCGAGAGCCTGCGAAGTTTTCCTGGATGAGGCCACGTCTCAGCTGAGACCTGCTGGCTGAGTAGCACCGAGCTAAGGAAAGGGGGTGGCAGAGGTGAGAGGGACATGCCACACTGGGAAAGGAAAATCAGCTGGAGCTGACTTCCACACGAAGGGGACAGATACATCAGCTCATCCAACGGACACGTGCAAAGAAGCAGGAACGACCGGACCCAGGGGCTCAAACAATGCCTTAGGGCTCCCCTTGAAGGGACATACCATAAGTGCTGTGTATTTGTCCAGGCACTGATCAACGTGTCAAGGATCTCAAGATCCTCCCAGTCGCATTGAAAAGAGACAAAAGGTTGTTCAATGACATTCTTTACTGAGGCTCCGTGATGAGCCAGCCTTTCCTCCACGAAGGCAGACGCTAGCTGCAGGAAACATGGCTCCTGGGCATTGGACATCCATGGTCCAGAGGAGGAAACACAAAAGAGAGTGAGGTGCGGGTGTGGCACTGGGAGGGTAGTGGGCACAGAGCTGTGTGTGTGTTACGGACATAACAAGTGGACGATGTGAGTCCTCTTCCGCAACGGTCCTGCCTGGCTGACCGCTCCATCCTCCTCTATCTTCCTCCCTTCGTCCCTTCCCAAGTGTCCCCCAGACCCCACCCCACTCCTTTGTTCTGGAAATGCCACCGTGCCCACAACCCTTCCGAGGGAACTGAGTCCGCCCATAAGCACCATGTTGGTGTATGACAAGCATCCCCTGACAGTTGGCTAGCAGAGGTCACCTGACCTGTGGGCTGGCCAGTGACTTCTGCTGGGGCCTTGAGGGGAGGGATTTGTTCTCCGGAAGTTCAGCTAAGAAATCCTGAGAGATCAAAGTGGAGGTAGGACGGCTGTAGAAAGGTCAGGTGGGAAAGAGGTCAGGCAGCCACAATGGGCCTTGAGGAAGTCAGGTCTTGGGTGAGAGAAGAATGGGCAGCCATGATGGAAGGCGGGCCAAGGAGGCAGTTGGGACAGACATGCCTTCGCCAAGCCCCAGGCCAGGCCCGGCCCGAACGCTGACTCTCACCGGCCATGTGTCAGGAGGCAACAAGGTGGAAAACAACATTTATGAAACACAGAAAGCGCAATACCAAGGGCTCACTGGTGTTGCTCTTCCTGAGAGAGCCTAGCTGTTTGTTCTGGACTCCACCTGCCGCTGGGAGTCCACGTCTGGGCTTCCGTCCACCCGGCCACTGTCTTCCGCAGCAGCTCGGGGATCCCTGCTTTCAAGAGTCAGAGCTTCTAGGTGGGAGATGAAGGTCAAGATGCCGTCATTGCCGGGGGAGGCCTGGCCACGGTCGTGAGGGGACTGACTTCCGGGCACTGCACCTTCAGAGGGAGGATCCTGGGAAGAGAAGATGTTGCCACAGGGACGCGTGGGCCCCTTGCCTCAAATAAGCAAAGCGATCTGGCTCTCCGGGGCCCCGTCTTCTCTTACCTGGACTGACTGTGAATGGGGCCCTTGCGCTCGCTGTTTGCAGTGCCTTCCCCCGGTCTTCGCTTGGCTGGCTGCCTCCCCTCAGACTTCAGCTCGATGCTACCTCCTCCCGGAGCCTCCTCTGATTGCCCTGCCGAGGCAGCTGCTCGCCCATCATGGGCTGCCCACCCCTCCCCGGGTTTTATTGTTTGTTTGTTTGTTTTTTTACTGTGCCGGGGTTTCTCCGAAAGGCTTTATTGCCTTGTGAGCTGCCTCTCTTCCTTACTGGACTATTTCTCTGACTTGCTCATGGCTATGCGTCCAGCTGAGGGAGCGTTTCAGGGCAAGCGCGGGGCCAGAACTGGGGAATGAATGAATGAGCTGCTTCTTCCCGATACTGGAAAGACGGAAGAAGCTCTAAGGTGGCTACAGCATTATTTCTGGGAAGACTCAGGGGTCTGAGTGATTGCGGGCGGGGTACGGACTAGAGGAGGGGTCCTGCTCCAGAAGGCTCCAAGGAGGGCCAGCTTCATGGGCATGTGGTCTGGGCCCATGTTCAGAGGGACCCTGGACTCATGTCAAAGCTCTGCTCTGTCTTGAAATGCTGATGAAGCTGAATCAGGAGCCCCACTTTTCCATGTTGCACTGGGCCCCCAAAGTCATGTCCACGGTCCCATCAGGATGTCACAGCAGCAAACCGGGCAGGCGGGCAGCTGAGAGCCCCCCACGCCCCTGCTGACGGCCCGTCCAGGTGCCTCAGCTCACAGAGACCCCAAAGAGCGGGCCGCACTCCACAGCACTGACAGACCCTGATTAGTCATTTCCCCCGAAAGGAAAGCCTGCCAGGCCTTACATGTCTCAGGATGGGATCCTGCCCATCACCTGAGTAAGAAGTTAGATGTTCCTCAGGCCAGGGAGGTGGGTGGGTAGGGGTGCAGAGTGAAAAAGGCCTTGTCAGCACCAATGCTGAGCCCTTGGGGAGGGACAGAGGAGGGGGCATTAGCTATTTTTCAAACGCAGAGGGCCGTGCTTCTTTCCCCCAAAGAGGAGTCTTGGCTGGTCCTGCCTAAGATCAGGTGGCGGGGGGCGCCCACGACTCCCGAGGTCCCTGTGTGCCTCCTTAGAGGTTTCTGGGACGTGGGGAAGAGGGTGCCCTCTCTCTACTGACTCCTCTCGCTGTTGGAAGTTCAAGGACATGGTCGTCAGGGTGGGAAGACATTCTTGGCGTCCAACATAAATGCCCACAGGCCTGTGGGTGCCGGCGGGTGGATGCTGGCGAAGTCTAGTCTAGGTTTTCTAACCATGGGGGAAGGCATGACTCCTTCATCCAAATCCCAGAGAGTCGGGAGCTGCAATCCTCCTCCTGATCCTTCTTTCACGCTGAAGGCAGAAGTCCCATCATACTCTCTCCTGTTCAAAGCCCCTCTGTGGCTCCCGACAGCCTTGGGACAGATGCCAAAGTCCTCACCAGCCACCACAGGCATGGAGCTGTGCTCTGGCCTCTGCCATCCTTGAAGCATGCACGGGTCACACTCACACTTCTGTTCACCCACCATCCTGTTCTCCCCTGTTGCCCACAGTTGTCCACCCACCGGATGGACCCTCCCCCGGCCACTGCCACCTTGCTCCTGCCTGTGTCACCTGCCAGGAATCACCTGGCTCCATATCCAGGGGCAGGAGCAGTGGCTGGGTGACTAACTGCCCCTGTGACATCCTGTTGGCCATCCCCTGAGTCTTAGCTGGGCTCAAGTGACATTTCCCAGCCCCCCTTGAGGCCAAGTGCAGGCCCTTGAACTGAAGCCAGGAGCGTGGGTGTGCTTGGTCAAAGGGGGATGGTTGGCCCTCTGTAGCCTCTCTGCCCACAGACAAGTACAGAGCCCCCGGGATGGCCCAGCACCTCGGCGGAAGGAACCGGGGTCTGTGCCTCCCACCAGCCTGATGGCCCCCCTTGCACGTGTGCTAAACCTCCGGCAGGTTGGAGCCATTCTGGTTAGACAGTCTCTTTGTTGCAACAAGTTAGCCTCTCTCTGAGACAGACCCTCACTCACTGTGGGGGCACCCCAGCGCCTGCCACAAGGCCTAAAATAACGCCAATGGTAATGATATCTCATGGTGCCTGGAGGCACGTGTGGGGCCAGGCACAGTGCCCAGGCTTTGCCTGCCAAGCTCCCCCAGTCCTCGCCACAACCAGGAGCCACAGGCAATTACCATCCTCCTGTCACAGATGGGGAAACAGGCTCAGAGCTAAATGCTGGGCTAGGTCACTTGGCTAAAAAGATTTGACACCACACACTAACTCCAGGGCTGCTCTCTGCTATGACCCTCTATTGCCTTCCAGACTCAGGGAAATGGGAGATTCGAGAACAACTGTTGATGGGTGGATGGATGGTTGGATGGATGGATAGATGGGTGGATAGGTGGGTGGATGGGTGGGTGGATGGGTGGAGGGGTGGGTAGATGGGTGGATGGATGGATAGATAAACGGATAGATGGATGAATGGATAGGTGGGTGGACAGATGGATGGATGGATGCATGGATGCATGGACAGGTGGATGGGTAGGTGGATAGATGGATGGATGGATAGATGGATGGATGGATGGATGGATGGATAGACGGATGGATGGATGGGTGGGTGGATGGATGGATGGATGGATAGATGGATGGATGGATGGATGGATAGATGGATGGATGGATGGATAGACGGATGGATGGATGGGTGGGTGGATGGATGGATGGTGGATGGGTGGATGGGTGGATGGGTAGATGGATGGGTTGGTGGATGGGTAGATGGATGAGAGAGAAATAGAGAACACAGGGCCCACCTTGCCCCAGGCTCACCTCCATCCTTGCTTGGCTCCCCAGGGTCCCTCCTGCCTCCTTTGCAACTCCTCCTGGACCAGCTCTCTCCGAGCCGATAGTCATTCTGTTGCTGTTGCCGATGGCAATGTCCTCAAGGAAGCATGAACTGATATGGACTCTCTGGGCCATCTCCTCCTTGGAGGAAGATCCTGGTTGGGGCATTCGAATTTCGAACGAAGCTCCTGGGCCTTCAGCGGTGGCAGAGGCTGTGGGTCAGCCAATGACAGAGATGTCAGGAAGGCTGCAAGAGCAGCTGGATGGTGGCCCCGAGCCCTGACACTCAGCCTGGCTTTCAAGTTCTCCTTGGCCCACTCTCCTCCCAGAAGCCAGGCCAGGCTTAGGCCACAGCCGAGGCCCTGCCTCCCTGAGCACCTCTGCACACAGCCTGGGCTGCCGGCTCTCTCTGCCACCCAGGTCTGCTGGCATGGACGTCACCTCCTCCTGTGCCCTTCCCCTGGGGTTCGACCACCTCCCCTCCACCTCCCCGCCACCGCCTGCTCCCATCTCTGCTGCTGGCTTCCCCGCAGCTCTGGAACACCATCCCCACCTATGGTTAAAACCTGCACGTGGCCGTAGCCATCCCCAGCCCCTGACACCTGGCTCCTTTCCCATCCAAACTTCGGACAAGAGTTGCACACAGTACCCCCTCCTCCTACTCCTGGAGCTCCTCTGTCCCCTCGGGTCACCACAGACCCCTGTGGCTGGACCCCATGGAACTCCCCAAACTCATCGGCTTCTCCTTCCTGGAAACTCTCCTCCGGTGGTCCCCGGCCTCCCTGCTGTTTTTTGCCCCCCAGCCTGTCTCTGGGTTATCAGAGCTGGGGAGGACTTAGCCTGGGCTCTCTGGTCACTGTGGACAGCACTTAATAGGACCCCAAGTACTTAGAGGGCTCCGGTCCCCCCTCCTTAGATGCCATTCCAGGCTGGCCATCTCCTCTGACCTGCTTCAGCTGGCCCACGCTTGCTGCACGGACGAGGAAACCGGTCTCCCGAGGAGGGCGGGTGGTAGGGAGTGGGAGCCTGAGTGCTAACTCTAAAGCCCCACCTGCTCTATTCTGTGAGACAGCCTCCAGGCGGAAGGAAAGGAATTTCCCATCGTGCCTCTCTCCCTGCAAAAAATGGCTCAAGTTCTATCCAGCGAGGAGATGGATGGGGTGGGGTGGGGGCAGGATGGGTTACCTGGGGGGCTGCCCAAGGGGTTGCAGGCTGCAGGGCCTTTGGCCTGGGCACCGTTGAGGTTCATCTTGTTGCCATGTCCTATCTGTACCCGTCTGAGCACAGACTTCTCCAAGTGGATGTCCTGGGGTCCCCAGGCTGCAGCCGGGGAACTCTGAGTTGAGGGATCAGCTGGCGCCACTGGGGGGAGTTCGAGGGGAGCCATGGAGCCTAGCAGGGGACACAGCAACATGACCTCAGGCCCCCACCCTCTGACGCCCCCTCCCCCCTACACACACAAAGTCCTGGCTGGACAGAGGAGACAGGCCTCTGAATTCTTTGTGAGCTCTCGCGGACTGGGAATGAGTGTTTCAGGCCATTGATGGAGAGCAGGTGGGCCCAGTAACACAAGTAGTGTGGGGCTCCCCAGGGGTTTATGACTGGGTTTATGAAAACCCAGTCAGTGAGCGCAGCTTCTGCTCCCTGGTGCTCTCAATCCTTTGAACCCACGAGGGCAAGTCTCCTTGGGTGTTGGTGTATCTTTAAGACCCCTCAACCGGGAGCATTCACAGCCTTGACATTGTTTTTTTCTTCTCAGTATTCATCTTTATAGTAAACTTTCTGGTTTTAAACTTAAGGCCATGCTATAAAAGTTAACTTTAAAATAAATTTGAGTAGAATAAAAAGGCAAGCCATTTACCAACATTAAGTATATAATCAGACATGGGCATGGCCAAAATTGGGGAGGGCAGAGCCCAGAGGACTAAGGTCGGGGAGACATTGATCTAGAAAAGCAACGTTCCTCATTTCACTGCCAGGGAAACAAAATCCCAGAGTTGGGGGTGGGGTGGGGAAGGTATCTCTGGAGGTCACAAGAAGGAGTCCAACTTTTGGGCTGATGCTGTCACTCGTGTTCCATGGCTGGTCTGATGGGGGCCGTGTGCCCTCTCACCCCAGTGCCTGGCCGGGAGTAGGCACTCCTTTGCGGGACTGTATTTTAACAAAAGTAGGATGCTGCTGGTAAGATGCAACCCAGTTTCTAAGATGTTAAAATGTGGGGGGAAAAGTGTATCTCAGAACAAACGAAACACTACAAAGACCCTTGTGACGTTCTACTGAGGGAGAGTGAATACTGAGTTGTTTCTCATGGCAAAACATCAGGTCCCATTGAAACCAAGGCAAAAGGTATCAGAATGAAGGGAAACCAGGAGAGGTTTGATCCAGGCACCAGGGGAGACTTCCTCATTCTCAGGAAGGCCCCAAAGGATGACCTTGGAGATCTGAGAGCTGCCCCTTCTCAGAGCTTGAAACTCGCCCTCTCTGCTCCCACCCGGATGGAGCAGGTACCCCTACCTACAGGGAGTGGGTGTCTCTCCGAGGACTCACTATTCTCTCCAGAGGCCGCCTGTCTCATGATGACATTCCCATGTCCAATCTGGATGGCTTCAGAGTTGTCAATGGAAATGTGGTTATTTGGTCCATTCTGACAGATTATGTTGATTGAATTTTTCTGGTAAATAATCTCAGTGGCCGGATTTCTTCCTCCCGAATCTGCAAAATCATATTCCACTCCAGCCCTCTGCACCTCTCTGGGGGTCAGGGGTTCCCAATACCCGAGAGCAGCAACAAAATCTCTGGTGGAGCTTGTTAAAACACAGATGCCCTGGTGTCCACCCTGAGGGTGCTGAGTCAGGATGTCCAAGGAGAGACCCAGGAGCTGGCGTGTTTAACAAGCCCCCCCACCCCCGGGGTATCAGAGATGAGCCTTGCTTAGATGTCCCCGGGGCGGTCACCCTACCTAGGCATCCTCTGCCACCCCCAGGAGGGTCCTGGGAGCCTCACTGCCCACCTCATCCTCTGTCCCTGTCGCTGTGAGGCATCCCCTGACCACTGAGCTCCAGGACCTCTCTCCCCTTAGTGAAGGCAGCAGGGGGCCGTCCATGGGCTATTTCCGGCCACTGGATAAGCTTTGTTTGGCTCACATGGCATTTTTAAGAATTGGGATTTTTTCACCAGTGTTTAAAACCTGGTGGCTGTCATGTTATCACGCCTGCAATGCAGGGACACCCCCCTCCCTTGGGCGCTGTGAGACTGTGCATCATCCCGCAGGCCACGTGAGCACCTGCCTGGGGCTCTGCCGGCTCCACAAACAGGGCCACGTCCCGCCTTTGTGGGCCCTCAGCTCTTGTGCCTTGGTGGGTACCTTCCTCCATAAAAAATATTCAAAATTACCACTTACGACAGTGGTGGGATAAAGGCAAATGTGATCCAGGCTGGAGTCATGATTAACTCTTCATTACTATTACAATCCGCATCTTTTCTTCTGATTTTAAGAGAAATTAGAACATTGTTGTGGACCCCTAGTGCTAAGTAGGGCCCATGCCTGCTGCACCTGAGGGAGAAGTCCCCCGGGCCCCCACCCTGTGGGTGTCTGAGCCCAGGCTTCTCTTCCAGCAGCTTCAAAACTCCAAGTTGGGCAAAGTGCTGACAGAAAACTGTTAGCAAACTCAGGCTGAGCCCCGCATCCCAGGGCTGCTATAGTTAGGAGTGGGTCACCTCCCCTCCTGGCCCCTTGCCTTCTGCAACTACAGCCTCAGGCCACTCCTCCGGGAGGCCCTCCTCGGTTACTCCCACCAGCACCAGCACCAACTCCACCCTCCTGGTACCCCCTTCTAGTGACCCAAGAACAAGACCACTGCAAGCTTCTGTGAGGGTCTGACAAGGAAGCTGGAGCTGGCAAAGTGCTGGGCAGGGCGCCCACAAGCACTGGATGTTAAGGTTTCTCTTCTAGCCCCGCCCCATCCAGGTGTGGGCCGCAGGTAAGGACCTACCTGGTTGATAAATTGCCCATGTACTTGACTTCTCATCCAAGTCCAGAAGATGCTTCCTCCTCATAGCGTACAAGTCTGGGTTGACTTCTTTTGCTGTCTTCCTTCCCAGCTTCTGGGAGATGGTCAGGGCCTTACAGGGCCCATGGGCTTCCAGAATCCTGTAGATGTCTTCCTCTGGGAAGCAGGGCAGTGGGTGGTAAAGGAGGAGCCCGGAGTGTGAGTCTCCTCCACTGCTTGCTAGCTGTGTACACTTGGGCCGACCAGACCCCCTGTGCTCAGTTTCCCCATCTGAAACGTGTGGTACATAAGAACAGCGCAGCACAGAGCCCGCTCTAGGGCGCGGGGTGGACATACACTGCTCTGAACGGTGCCGGGCACATGGGAGGGGCCCATGGCAGGTGCCACCGCGGATCAGAGAGATTTCTCAGCCATTTAGCTTCTTCCACTGTGCAGGCTGAGTCCTGCCTCCGGACACTCTGTGGGAACCTCTTGGTGGGCGGGGCAAGAGTCACATCTCAGGTGGCCAAGGAGAGTTTGGGGAAGTGGGATGCTTACGCTGTTGAGTGAGCCGAGAGCCAGCTTCCTGTGGAACTGTAACTGCGCCTTGCTGGGGCCTCTCTGCTGGAGGAAGAAAGAGTGGCCGGGGGCATGAGGGGTGGCAGAGGAGATGGGGACGCCACTGGACAAAGGCGGGCCGCTCCACAGTGGCCCCGGTGCGCGGGCGATCTGGACTCAGAGTCTAGAGTTAAACCAACCTGCCTTCAAACCTGCCCTGTCGCTCTCCATATGCCCGGCTTTGCTGCTAACTCACGCCTCTGGGCCAAGAGGAAGAGTGCCATCCACTTACGCCCGGGGGCTGTGGGAGCGCCCAACCAATGCCAACTCCGGGACCCAGGGTAAGCCAAGTCTGTTCTACTCTTATCACTACCGCGGCAGTTGTCAACAGTGTTACTGCTGATGCTTTGCTGAGCGCCCGCCACGTGCGGGCGCGAGGCTGGGCCCTCTGCGTCTCACCCTCTCGCAACCCTGGGCAGCAGATCTACAAGGCACGGCCGGGGGATGCCACGCACCCTTGAGAGGCGGAGCTTGTATTCGAACCCAGGCCCGGGCCCCGCTTGTCCTCTGCCAGGACTGCTCGTGCTGCCCACCCCGTCCCCCTTCCCGGGGCAGGTTACCCTGGCTGGGCTGGGCCAGCTCTGCGGGCTCCACTTCAGTCCTGCCCTTGCCCAGGCCCCACATCGCCTGGCCTTCCAGGGAGACTTTGGACTCCTCCTTCATCCGGTAGAGGACTTGGTTGAGTTTCTTCTTGGGCACTTGGCATTCCTTTGCCAACTGGAAAGACTTCATGGGGGAGCCAGCACCCCTCAGCACCTGCAGGATCCTCTGCTCAAGGTCTGGGAGAAGGAGAGAGGGGCAGAGAGGGGGCTGAATCTCCCCCGGACGGAGCCTGGGCTGGAAGCTCGGGGGCAGGGGAGGTGCCTCCAGGGCAGATGGAGGGGCAGGGACCTGAGCAGACATTCACTAACAACACCACTGTTCAGGGAGGGACACATGCGCTGGTCAGAAATGACCGTGGCCGGACAGCCTGGTGACCAGAGGAGGTGCCCCAGCCTCCTGAGCGTCCTCTGCCTGGTGTGAGTGCTTGAGGGCGGGGTGGGGGGGACACTCAGCCCTCAGACATCCTCAGAGCAGAGGGGAGGGGAGGGTAGCGGGGTGGGGTAGAGTGAGGGCAGGAGGGCAGGAACTGGGGGGAGACAAAGTGCCTCCTGGGAGGCCTGCTGTCCCCACCTCCCTACGGCACCTGCCCCTCCTCGTGGGCTCTCCATCCACATCAGTGGTGCGTCTATTCTTCCAAGCCAGAAAGCTAAAGACACTCAGAAACGGATCTTTCTCCCTGGTGCCCAGTTACAGAGAGTCCTGGAAACCTTGTTCCTGGCTCTCTCTCGAACCTCTTCTTCTCCCCTCTGTGCCTCTGCCTTCCTATTCTTCATCGTCATCTCCTGGACGACAGCAGCTCCGCCGACCGCAGTCGGGATCCCTCCAGCCCACCCTCCCCTCGGCAGCCAGAGCTTCCCTCCAAGTGCCAGCCGGCTGTGCTCCTTCCAGCCCGCTCAGCCCTGGGCCTTTGCACACATTGCTCCCTCTGTCAGGAACGCTCTCCCCCCCTCCACCCGCCCAACATCTACTCAACCTCCAGGTCTCACTCAAACACCATCTCTTTTGGGGAGCATCATAGATGCCCCGAGTGATTGGGGTGCTGTGTGTGGGGGTGGGGGGTCCCCGGCAGAATGTCTCCAAGGACCCCCTTGCTGTGATTGCCGGGTCCACTGCAGTATCTTCGGTGTCTAGCACAGTGCTGGGAGCACAGTAGGTGCTCGGGAAACAGCATTTGAACGAACAAGTGTCTGAGTGGGTCTGCCCAGCACAAGGACAGGTGTCTGCCCAGATGACGCAGGGCAGGGTATGGGCAGCTCCTCCTGGGTCTCTATTTCCCCACCTGAGGTTAATGACCCAGAGGCTGGAGAAGGAGCTCTCTGAACGGCCCCTGTTCCTCTCAGATGGGCTCCCACAAACCCAAGCCTGCGGCTCTTTGGGGAGCCGAGAACAGAGTGCACACAGTGCCTGGGGAGCTGGAAGGAGCCCCGTGGGCGGCAGCCCAGCCTCTTGCCAGGAAATCTCTGCCCCCAAGAACCCCACGGGAAACGCAAGGCAGGGTCCTTCTGGGGAAGACCTGGGGCCCCTTGGCAGGGCAGCAGCCCGATCCTTTGCCTTCTGGGGTTTTCCCTAGTGGGGGAAGGGGTAATCCATTGGCTGACTCTACAGCTGGGCTCTGAGGCTCGCTCTGGGATCAGGACACATTCATCCGTGCTGGGTGCAGGTGAAGTGCATTTAGAATGCCTGGGGGCATCCACCCCTTCACTCACCAACGTCTACCTCTGGCGGCCGGGGATCCCCATCCAATCAACAGCAAGCCTGGCTTTGCCTTGTCTTGAAAAGAGTTTTGATTTTTGAAAAGCCTGCCCCTGGGTGAGCCTCTTCCCCTCCCTCCTCCTCCACCCCCCTAACCTCAAAGGAGCCGAGGGGGGTCGTGGGGTCGGAGATCAGAGTGAGGGCCGAGCCCATAGAGCTGGCTGGCCTCCTGCACTGAGTCTTCAGGCTGGTGTGTCCGTAAATGGAAGGTTGTAAAATGGATGAGGTGTAAGCGACAGGTTGGAAAGGAACAACCAGGAGGGAGAAGTTAAATTCAGCCACTGAGTGACAAGTACCTGCGTGTCCCCCTTGTGGAAGCACCACAAAAACCGGGGAACCAGCCTGGGGCCCTGGGCGCACACTGCTGGCCCTCCTCCCCAGTCCCCCATTCGTCCTCTTTTCTGTTCTCTGACGGCTGGTTTCCGCAGTTTGAGCCCCCTCTCTGCCATCCGTGTGATCGCTCTGTGCCTCACTTTTTCCATCTGTGAACTGGGGATGAGAGCACCTACCTCGAAGATTGTAGTGAGGAGTAAATCAGCAAATGATAACAGAATTAAAAAAAACAAAAAGCAAAACCACCCTCAGCCCACAGCCCACAGCCCACAAGCTCTCTAGAATACACGGCTCGCTTTTCTTGGGTTTTCTTCCAGGAGTGAAGTGTTATCTGCAGTACTAGGAGACACAGGCATGCACGTCCGCCTCTTCTCAAAGCAACTTCTGTTGTTTCTTAAAATGAGTGTGAGGCCAGGTGTTCAGACCCCAGTGTCAGCCATGCGGCCCGGGGTCCCCCTTGCGGGGCCTCAGTGACCTCATCTATAAAACGGAAACAGCTCTGCGCTTGCCCCCGGGGGCTCCTAAAAGGTGTGCAGAGGGTGCTGCAAGGTGCCCAGGGCAGACCCTGGGGTCCCCTCGACTCCCGCGGCCACAGGGCTTTGGGGTACTGTCGGCTATCATTGCTGTCATCTAGCCAAGGAAAGGAGCTGGAAAGAAAGGTGCAAATCCCATTGGGAGCACCTACTATTGCTTGGAAGGAAGAGAGTACCTCTTTCATCAGGGTCCCCGGGGGCCTGGGCCATCCTGGCTGCAGCGGCTGGGAGCCTGGAGGCGTCTGCACCGCGGCTTGGAACGGACAGGCTGGGTGGAGGTAGGGTGTCCTTGCGCGGCCGGACTGGGTGCTCCCGCAGCTGCGAAGGGTGGGTGTTTGCTGTTCACACTCCAGAAACAAGCCTAGTCAGCCTGACCTGACCAGCATTCTGGGGAAAAAGAAAACGAAACTCCTGCGTGTGGCCTCAGAAAAAAAAGATTGAAAGCAGAAATGATGAGTGAGGGCCTCTGACTATGTGTTGGTAGAAGGAAGCTGAGCTTGGCAAGACCAGAGCGTTCTCCGGAACCACGGGGCTTCCCTGACTTTCTGGGCGCTTGCCACTGCCCACCCTGATCCCCACACAGAGTCTGAGGCCCCCCGGGGGTGGGGGGGCGGGGCACTGCAATTGTTTGTGCGTGTCAAAATCACAGCTCTTTTTAGGGAGCACCTGCTATGTGCTTTCCAATCTTATGTGCCCCTCTGACTCCCCTTCAGGGTAGGGGCTAGTACTGATGTCTTTTCTCAGAGAGGAAACTGAGGCTTAAGGCCATTGGGTCACTTGTCCAAGGCTGGGTTTTAACTCAGCCCACAATTTATTGGCTGTGTGACTTTGGGCAGGTTCTTAAACATATTTGTGCCTCAGTTTCCTCATCTGTAAAATGGGGCTAATAAAAGTAGCTACATCAGGAGGTCCTGGAGAGGACTAAAGGGGGTAATCCAGTTGAACAGTCTGACCAGACCCCTCCAGTGCCATCTCCAGCCAGGAGCACAGTGGGGCACCCACATACCTGGAAAAGGGATCTATCACTTACATCTAGTTTCAAGGGGCTCCTGACCCCGAAGTAGGTCAGAGCCACTGTTCTTTACCAGGTAATAGAAGGGGAAACCCGGGTCTATAGTGGTGAAGGGCTTCGGGCCAGGCAGCCAGGAGGGTCATGAACTCAGCCCTGGAAGTCCCTGGGCTCAGGGTCCCAGCCACAGAGGCCTGGGGAGGGTCTCGACCTCGGAGGACTTTGCCCCAGCACTTCTGCAAAGGGAGGGGCTCGCACGTCTGGGGCAGTGTTTGCAGAGCGAACGGGGCAGTCCTGACGCCCAGTCCGCACCCAGGCCACTTACAGCCCAGCCCCTGGGGGCGGGGCGCGCGTCCCAGGTGAGGTCACGCACATCCGCTCCCCACTGCCACATAGGACAGCTCAGTAGCAACCGGAAACCGAAATGGTGTTTGTTTGTTTTATGTAAAACCGAGAAAATGTGTTTCTCCCTATGAATTGTCAATATCAATTTGAAGTGTAACGGGGCTGCTGAGGGACATTGTGGAGGCGCACTCAGGGAGGGGGCTCCGGCTGAGCCCCCAGTGGGAGGCGGGGGGGGGGGGCGGCTTGCCGGGACTGGCCACCAGGTGGCGCTCGCTCATCAACCTGGACCCCAGGCCGCTGACTGTCTCTCTGATGTGGAGGGACCTTCCACCCATCACCACCCCCCAGGGAAACCCCTGAATCCATCTGGCCTGTGGGTACATCTGCTCACGGGAACCGATGTACTGAGCGGATTCGAGGCTGAGTGCAAAGGCAATTCTCAGAGCCTCCTTTCCAGTGTGAAAGGCTCCCTACTCTGCCAAGAAAGGGCCTCAAAGGCCACAGGAGTTCCAAGATGGGGCCACCGCCTGCCCGAGCCCAAATCTTTTTTTGCCTTGGAAAGCACATTCATTTTTTATGGTTTGTATTTTTCTGGAAACTATTAGAACTCTCCACCCAAACCAGATGATAATTACATGTTACTGATCTCCAGTCTTTACATCTCTCTCTCTCTCTTTTAAAGAAGAGATATTTTTACTGCACATTGTGTTGGCAAAACCCAGTCTCTGTTCTACCAGGCAGCCTGGATGTTATTTTCACATTTTCTCTGTGAATTCCCCTCAGGGAAGGGAGTGGTAAGGTCTGAAGGCACCAAATGTGGGTAATAATGTGTCTTCGGTCAAGGGCAAAGATCAGAGAATCAGAGGTGGCCAGAGGAGACAGGGATTGCACGCGGTCTCGAGAGCTATCAACAGAGGGCGAGGAACAAAGATCAGGGAAAGCTGCTTTGTCAAAGGCAGCAGGACCTCGGTGGCAGCCCCCCATAGGGACCTGCCTTGGCTCTGTTAGCTGCCCTTCAAGGTAGAGCTCAGTGGGCTTCCGTTGGTCATCTGTGTCCACCGGAGTTGGACGGACCTGGGGCTCTGGTCTGGCACCCCCACCTTTTAGCTACAGGCCTAGGCGCGAGTCACTAGTCTTCCTGAGCCTCAGTTTCTCCCTTTGGAAAAGGAGATAAAAGCAGCACCTACTTCTGGGGTGATTGCCAAAGTTAAATAAAATCATGCACCTAGGTCCTACCAGAGCACCGAGCATGTAGTATGTGCTTAATAAACAGGAGTTAGTCCTATCTTTACTTCATGATCCCCAGCTGTCCTGCTCTGACATGAAAAAGCAGTCCCATTTCATCTGGTCTTTCACCAAATAATGTTTTGTGCTTTCTTTATCCCAGTTCCCGAGGTGGAGCCTGTGCTGGGGGTGGAGGAAGGCCTCTCCTCACCGGTTCCTGGATCTGCTTCTCACTCCGGCTGTAGAAGAGGCCACACGGCCCAATTCAGGGATTGAGGGGGCGCTCAGGCTGAGTCCAGGGTGGACCAGCACTCCCTGTGCTGGCCAGTCGAGTGAGCCAGGGGGATGAGCAGGGGCTGGGCAGGGGCTGGGCAGGGGCTGGGGCATCAATGGCCTTGGTGGAAACTTGAAATTTTCACTGGGAGCAGAAGAAGGGCCACTGCAAGATTTTCATCCAAGCCAACTTGGGTAAAAGCAGCCTTGGGTGCTTGAGGAAGGTCAGCAAGAGGTGGGCGGGGGGGGCAGAACCAGGCTGTTTCTCGTCCTCCCCCCACACCAACACTCTGTAGAAAGCCTTTCCCCACATCCCAACAGATGGATTGAAATGAATTCTCATCTAAGTTTTAGTTTTTGATCAAAAGACATTTTGATGATGTTACTACCAAAATTATTTGCCTACAAGAAATTCATTCATTACAACTGGCCATAAGCTCTTCACTGAGCAATCAATATTCTTGGGGATTCTGGCAAAACGAGAAGAGCTCACCTATAAATTCGTTTCAAATATAATGAAGTGTAACGAAATGTTTATGATGACTAGATGGAACAATTCATGAACATGACATAATGTTAGGTTTCCTAGACATTTCATTAAACATTTGTTGATCCTGATTTTGTAACGTTTAGCCCCCTACCCCCTGTTTTGGAGCTCAAACATTTTCAAAGTCTCCTGAAGCATCCGTAGGTCTGAGGTGCTAAGATTTCTATGCCCAGAAGGTATGATGGGGAGATGCAGAGACACACATGCTAAGGGCCAGGATTCCTGCTCTTCTGGGGGCTGTGGCCCCGCTCGGTTATGGGCAGGGGTGTTGCCGAGTGTGGGACAGGGGATGGGTTGAGAGTAGAACAGTTTTATGTGTCAATTGGCAACTTCTTTTCATTTTAAATGGATATCCTGCTCTAAAATTTGACCCAATGATGTTTCTTAAAAGACTGGGGAACTGCGTAGCAACCACTGAAGACCCTTGGACAAGCTGGCTTTGAATGGCGCAGGCGCACTTATACGCGGGTTTTTTTTTTTTTTTATAAATGCGGTACAATACTGTAGATGTATTTTCTCTTCCTTATGATTTTCTTAACATTTTCTTTTCTCTGGCTTACTTTATTGTAAGAATACAGCATATAATACACAGAACATGCAGAACAGGTGTTAACCAGCTGTTTATGCTATCAGTAAGGCTTCTGGTCACGAGTTATGTTTTTAGGGAGTCAAAGCTACACATGGATTTTCGACCTCACAGCATGTTCATTGCCCCAATCCCTGTGTTGTTCAAGGTCCAACTGTATTTAGTTCGAGCTTACTATGGACCCTGTATTCATTATTTCACTGGCTCTTAGCAACCTGTAAAGTTGGTAAGTAATATTAAATCTGCAGTTTGCAGACAAGAAAACTGAGGCGCAGAGAGATGGCTGCGTAAACTGGTCAAGATCACGGAGCTAGCTAGTGGAAGAGGTGGGGTTCAAGCCCAGACTGTCGGGCTGTGGCATCCAAGCTCTTGGCAACTATTGTCCTCACTGTGAACAGATGTGTGCACGGGGAAGGAGCAGTCCTTTCTCTGCTAAACACCTCTATGCCACCAAGCATGCTAATCCCACCGTGGGGCTCCACCTCCTAAGACCGCCGTGTTGGATAGGGTTTCAGGGTATGGATTTAGGGGTGCACAAACATTCAGTCCATACCAGGGCCCCTATGGGCAGAGTGCTGTGCTGAGTACTCAGAGGCCCAGAAACCTGACTGGTTGGAAGAAAGTCCAACACTTAAGATTTTTTTTCTCATTAACAATTTTTATACTGATTCTATGTTGAGATGATCCTTTGGATATATTGGGCTTAAAAAAAAAGACAACTGAACAGGTGCATGCAGCCCTGAACACACACGCATGTGTGCACACATGTCCTTACGTACACGTGCACACACACACACACAAACACACACACACAAACACACACGAGCCCATCTGTGCCTTCTGCTCAGTGAGCCCTTTTTCTCCGAGGTGCTCTGATCCTCTCACTTTGCTGACCACCACTTTAGAGTTTGTGGTCTGAGGCTGGGTGCCCCATAAAGCAGAGATCGAAGTGCAAGCACTTACTTATTTGGAAGGTGACACCAGGAAACGCTGGGAGAGCAGTGGGGAGGTGGGCCAGGAAAGGATGGAACCTCATCGGGGTGTGCCATCAAGCAAGTGACCTCACGGGCTAGTGCTTAGTGCCTCAAGATCGCTGGAAACGCTGGGAATATGCGGAGAATCATCTCAGCACCGCCCCCGCCCCCCC